AAAGAGTCCAAACGGCAGTTCATATTTGACGTGGTCAACGAAGGTGGCGAATCGGAGAAGATGGAGATTTTTGTCAACTTTTGTGAGGACACCATCTTTGAGATGAATATCGCTTCACAGATTTCAGAGCAGGATGAGGAGGAGAAAGAAGAGAACGATGAGGAGGAACCCGAAGGAGGAGGTGGTGGAGATGAAGAGGGTGGTGGAGAGGAGGGCCAGCCAGAATCAAGCTCCGCCTTTGCTGATTTCATCCAAAGCATCATGAATTTCCTGGGCATGTTTACCTTTAGGAATATTCGCAGACAGTACCGTAGGCTCAGGAAGATGACCATCAAGGAAATTGTAGTCAGGGTTGCTACCTTCCTATGGACAATCCTCATGGGCATCCTCCATTTCATTTACAGTGTGTGTAAAGGTTTCTTCTTGCTCATCTGGCATACACTTTTTGGAGGTGGTTTAGTTGAAGGGGCCAAGAACATCACCGTCACCGAGTTGCTGGCCAGCATGCCAGATCCCACACAGGATGAGGTGCATGGAGACCTACCGGGAGAACCAAGGGGCGGAGAGGCGCAGGATACAGGAGGTATAACAGACTCAATGGAAGCAGGAGGGGGAGAGGAAGAGGATGAGGACATCCAGGAAAAAGATGGTGGGAAGATTCCTGGTATCGATACACCTGGTGGACTTGGAGATATGGGTGACACGACCCCTGTGGAGCCACCAACTCCAGAGGGCACTCCATTACTGAAAAGGAAAATGGTATGGTGTTTATTCAGCTGGGTTCCTTGTGTTCCTTCACCAATCTTCTACACAAAGATTATTAATTGTATGTGTCATGTTGGTCCTTGTTTTTTTTATGCTGCAGCAACCAGAAGCAGGAAGTGAGCAACCTCCTATTGAAGAACCTCTCCCTGAGCCTGAGAAAGCAGAGTGAGTGACTCCCAAATGAAGGGAAAACAGGACATTGTATTGTGTTTTCTAGATGTATTTACCATTTTAATGACCATCTTCCGTGTGTAACAGCACTGAGAATGGAGAGAAGGCTGAGAAGGAAGCAGAGGTCAAGCCTGAGACGACACCAGAAGAACCAAAACCTGAGAAAGCCACCAAAGCCAAGAAGGAAAAGAAATCAGCCAAGGGGGCAGGATTTGAGCTCTGGAATGAATTGGATGTTCAAAGAAATAAATTCATGGTAGGAGAAATATATATTTTTCTTCTAAAACTTGAATCTATGAGGTTTAGTTACGATTTACGGGTTTTGATTTGCTGTTCATCTCCACTTCCATCTACAGAACTGTTTGTCCCGTAACTTCTACAACCTTCGTTTCCTGTCTTTGTTCATCGCCTTCGCCCTGAACTTCATTCTTCTCTTCTACAAGGTCGGAAAACCTATTTTAGATTTTCACACAAATTGTCCCATTTTAATAAGTGGTTTATTTGGATTTCTAGGCTTGTTTATATGTCCTTTTGTTAAAATGTTTAATTTAATTCAATCAAAATGGCATGCCTCACAATAATTTTACTTTAAAACGCACATAGATGTAAAAATAAAATCTAATGTTCCTGTCTTTTTTTTTTTTTTTTTTTTTTTTTTTTTTTTTAATATCTTTGTATTAAAATTCTACAGGTTTGGAACAACATAAGGTATCTGATACTCCTCCGTTTACTGATGAGTTTGACGGCTCAGGTATGTTTGAAAGCTCTGGGCTGTTTGAAGGCTCTGGGGAGGACTTTGAGGGCTCTGGTGGAGAGGATGAAGGCGATGATGATGAGGAAGGTCCTGTGTATTTTTTCCTGGAAGAGAGTACCGGATACATGCAGCCCACTCTGGCCTGCCTGGCCATTGTGCACACCATCATCGCTTTCTTATCCATCATTGGATACAACTGCCTCAAGGTTTGAACCACTAGATTTATATTTTAGTGCTTGAACTTGTGTCATTATCAGACTTGAGTTATCATGATGTCGTGGTCTGTTAGATTCCACTGGTCATCTTTAAGAGAGAGAAAGAGCTGGCAAGAAAGCTGGAGTTTGATGGCCTTTACATCACTGAACAGCCAGAGGATGATGACATCAAAGGCCAGTGGGACAGATTGGTGCTAAACACACCGTAAGTGTGCAGAAAAGTTGAGTTAGATTCTGTTTTGAGGTCAAACTGGTTTTGCACATATGTGGGCCCTAATTTATGTCTCTTTAATACTCTAGGGTGTTAGGATGGACTAATAAGTGTGTTAGCAGACCCAGCCAGCTGTGGTCATAGTTTTTCTTAAAAAAAAAACTGTAATTAAAACTCTTTATCATTGTTTTAGCTCCTTTCCCTCCAACTACTGGGACAAATTTGTTAAGCGAAAGGTAATCAATATTCTTTCTGTTCATTGGTGTTTAGGTTTAAAATTAGTGTGTTTATGAGGCCATGATGTTCTTGTTTCCTTTGGCAAGGTTCTGGATAAATACGGAGATATTTATGGACGTGAGCGAATTGCAGAGCTGCTGGGTATGGACCTGGCATCGCTGGATGTCAGCAAACAACAGACAGACAAGAAACCCGAAGAGCCAGACAACTCTATGCTTGCATGGTATTAAAAATACTTTACAAGTGACATATCATTCTGTGACATTTTAAGATATAAATTTTTGGTTACATGTTATTTTTTTGCCACTAGTGGCACCAAACAGAATTGCAAAAATACAGATTTTTCAAAGATGTTTGAAATGCTCCTCCTGTATGCAATTGGTCAGCCAAACACATAATCCCTAAAACTACACCACTGGTCAAAGCAGTGTTTTTATAGGAGATCAAGTATTAGATTTTCGTTCCATATTATCTTTTAGGCTCACTGCCATTGACATCAAGTATCAGATCTGGAAATTTGGAGTTGTGTTTACAGACAATGTAAGTATTTTTTTCTTCAGGTGTTAAAATCTACAGTATTTTCTAAAATTGCAGACTTTGCAAAACAAAGTTCAAGTCAAGTGGGCTCATGTGTTTTTTTTTTTTTTTATTTACAGACTTTCCTCTACCTGGTGTGGTACACAGTTATGTCACTTCTTGGACATTACAACAATTTCTTCTTTGCTTGTCACCTGCTGGACATCGCAATGGGTGTCAAGACCCTGCGTACAATTCTTTCCTCAGTCACACACAACGGAAAACAGGTACAGTCAGTACAACAAAACTCAAACTGGTTCTGAAAATCTGAATTTACACACCAGTTGACTCTGTTGGCTTGTTTCAGCTGATGATGACTGTGGGTTTGCTGGCTGTGGTTGTGTACCTCTACACTGTGGTGGCCTTTAACTTCTTCAGGAAGTTCTACAATAAGAGCGAGGATGAGGACGAGCCGGACATGAAGTGTGACGACATGATGACGGTTGGTCACTGCATTATAAAACACTATTGGTGTCTTTTTTTCTCCTTCTCTAATAATGTCTTTATGAGTTGTACAGTAACAAACATTTTGTAAAACCTTTTGTTGGGGGTTGCTCATTTTTTTCTGCAATTCTCCCCTAACCAAACACCTGCTGTGTAATCCAACACATCTCTCGCTCTTTCTCTTCTCAGTGTTATCTGTTCCACATGTACGTGGGTGTGCGGGCAGGTGGAGGTATAGGAGACGAGATTGAGGACCCAGCAGGGGATGAGTATGAACTCTGTCGGGTGGTTTTCGACATCACCTTTTTCTTCTTTGTCATCGTCATCCTGCTGGCCATCATTCAAGGTGAGACTTATGTTTCTATTCAACTTGGCCTAGCAAATCTACCGCATTAAATTATACATTTATGACTGGCTATGAAATTTCATTTTCTGGATTAGATTGAAAACACTGCACTGCAATTCAATGCGTGTTTGTCTGCACAGGTCTGATCATTGATGCTTTTGGTGAGCTGAGAGACCAGCAAGAGCAAGTAAAAGAAGACATGGAGGTACTGAGATCTTTACGGTTCAATAAAGAAAAATATGTATTACGTTTTTAAATGCTTAGCAATGTATCTGCTTTTCTGCTTTGCATTGCCAGACCAAATGCTTTATATGTGGTATTGGGAGTGATTACTTTGATACAACTCCACATGGCTTTGAGACGCATACTCTTGAAGAACACAACCTGGCCAATTACATGTGAGCGATTCGGTTTTCTGCCACCTTTCTTATGTTATAAAATCTCTCCATCTTCAGACATCTTATACAGTCTCTCTCTCTTCATTAGGTTCTTCCTGATGTACTTAATCAACAAGGATGAAACTGAGCACACTGGGCAGGTAAGACGTGTCACAATGTTCATAATTCATAAATATGAAAAGTTATCTAAATATAATGTTTTTGACAGGAATCATACGTGTGGAAGATGTACCAGGAGAGATGCTGGGATTTCTTCCCTGCTGGAGACTGCTTCAGAAAACAATATGAAGACCAGCTTGGATAAATGTCTTTCTGTTTTGTTCGTAGCCTTTAACAGTAGTATGATGTTTAAATTGTGACAATCCATGTTATATGTAAAATTACACAGTAATAATGTTATTGACTTGCACAATACCAGATCATTATACTCATATACAGTGGGTACGGAAAGTATTCAGACCCCCTTACACTCAAAATGCATGCTATTTATTCATAGTAAGTTTTTTTGAAGGGTAATTTTTAAGTATCTGCTCATTTAAAATATTCATGTGCCTAAGACCTGTTCTAATGATTCTTTAGCGTGTCACAATCTTTATTTCATAAATTTGAAGATGTTAATGTACTTGATGTTCTTGCAGTTTAAGCATCCCACTTCCAGATGAGCTCAAACATCAAAATCTACTGTGAAAAAAATAATGATTTTATCAAAATATATAAATAATCATCACAGACATTGTGAATGATGTGAATTTGAATGTTTTTATTCAGAAATTGTAAAAGCATTACATTAAGCATCATATTTTCAGTCATCTAATAATCTTAAAATAGCAAATTCACATTCTAAATGTTAAAAGTCTCAAAAGTATGTTGAAAGTTGTTCAAAAATGTGGCATTTTAGCAGAGTACTACAGATGAGCAACAAGCTAAAAGTGCAAAAGTAAATCCTAATGAAAACCGAATAGATCATTAATCAAGATACATATGCTACCAACATTGTTTAATTTTAAGATTTCAGGTGCCTTTTTAGGGCCTTTTATGATATGGTATGATAAAGATACTATACATTTAAAACAAATATATATATATATATATGGCTAGAAAAACAGAATAATCTTAAAATAACATTTCAGAACAGCTGGTGTAGTTGAAGTGTAATTCCTGCAAATATATATGCAACTACACTAATAATTACAAATAGAATCACAAATAGCACTCCGCTAAATAATCTGATAATACATGGGTTTGTAGGTGATGGGATTTCCCCACCAGTACGCAAACCAGATTCTAGAATTTACTTTGTACTAAGTATAAATGTTATCATCACAGACACATCTTACACTTTGATACAACAGTCACTGCTTGCAAAAACGCTAATCTTATAGAAGCATTCCTTCCAGCGACCCTAAACCTTAAAACATGACTAGCCTACTATGCTGCAACTCCACCTGACCTATTATAACAAAAACCAACTCCAAACTATGTAAAACAAAACAAAAAAAGAACACAATTTCAATTATAAACACTACATTACCCTGCTTAAACGAAAAAGAAGCAACTGAACGGTTAGCATTCCTTGTTTTGAGTTGATAAAAAAAATAAAACGTTTCAAAATGCCAATACTAGATTCGACTGGGATTCATCATTATATAAGACATGCAAACCCCCTTTTTCACTTGGAAATATTTTTCGTTTCAATCAAGATTCTAATTTCAAAGATAAACTCTCAACTTTAATGGCCTCAGATTAAGATGAAGATTTAGACTGGAATATCAATTTGCGATTGATCTTGGGTTTGTGGGGTTTCGGCAGATCCAGGTATGGTGGAGGCTGATGAATAGCTATGCATGCACTGATTATCTGATGACAGCTCTGTTGGGATTGAGAGGATGCTTTCGCTGTCAGTGCTGGACTGGGACACTGTCTTGTACTCGCGCACAGGGCAGGCACGCTCTGTGAAATTGGGTTTGAAGCCGTTCTCCAGATCTTTAGGCATGGACAGCCAGTTCTGTATGACAAAAAAAAGATTCATTCTCACATTCCCTCTTTACCACTATTCAAGGATGGTACACGATTGAAAAAAGAATAACTGTTGCTTACCTCAACATTGCCATTATAATTGTCAAAAAGGGCTGCAAGGTGATTGCTTACATGTCGTCCTGCATTTGGTACCACTGGTATTAAAATGATTCTTAACCTAAGGAACGTTACACATTAAATTATCATAAATAAAACACTTCTATTGAATTAAAAGATAAAGAGAATTTTACTGTGGAAAATTAAAATGTAATGTTTAAAATAAAGAAAAATGGTCGAAGGACAAAAAAAAATGGCTTCAAACCTCTCGCTATGGACGAGCAAGCAGGAGAGTATGATGAGAATTATTGTGGCTCCCGCTATATACAGCACCAGTGACGTCCCAGACATGGTAATCGGACTCTCTGGGGAAAAGAGTTGTCATTAAGGCCACTGATATAGTTTTCATAATTGTTTTTTCAATCCAGCAAAATCTTTGCAAACATATGCTTTTGTACAGTAAAAAAAGTTACATATTGCTAAAGTCTGCATGAAATCAACATTGACTTTATTTACTTTACTAGCTCACATTGCTAGTCTTGATGTGAACAATTAATCCGTGCAAGTTAATCCGCTGAAAAAAATTGTTTGTTTTGGTAATCTTTAATCAAAATCTAAACATTTACTTCCGCTCTGGAATGGCATTCCTTCTCTGATG